CTCTCTCTCTGTTCTCTCTCTGTCTCTCTCTCTGTCTCTCTCTCTGTCTCTCTCTTCCCCCTCTCCCCGTCCTGTCTCTCTCTCTGTCTCTCTCTGTCTCTCTCTCTCTCTCTGTCTTTCTCTCTCTCTCTCTCTGTCTCTCTCTCTCTCTGTCTCTCTCTCTCTCTCTCTGTCTCTCTCTGTCTCTCTCTCTGTGTGTCTCTCTCTCTCTTCCGCCTCTCCCCGTTCTGTCACGGTTTGTAAATCGACCGATGATATCTGCTTCGACCATGTCACCTACCTCCACATCAGCTGTGCTTCTACGTCAGCTGCCTCCACATGAGCTATCTCCACATCAGTTGCCCCTTGTTCGCTTGATTCCATGTGCTCCCCTGCTTCAACGCCTTTTGGGTGCGTTCGATGCTTTCACGTTATATCTGCATCACGTTATATCTGTGTGCACGTGATGAATCCGCTCCATGCTTTCGCGTTATATCTGTTGTGTGCACGTGATGAATCCGCTCCCTGCTTTCACGTTGAGGTCTTCCTTCGCATCATCCATCACGTTTGGATGTGTTGCCTGCATCTCATCTGCCCGCGCAGGATGCTTCCTACCGTCTTTTACCCGAATAGAACGCCCGGTCATTACGGCGGTATCTAGATTGAATGTCGTCCCAAATAGGGGGATAATGACCGGGCGTCGTTCTATTTGGGTGACGACGGTGGGCCTCCGTGCCATCTGCTTGCACTGAATACCTCGACGCGTATTTTCTGTATGTTCTGTTCATTTATGGGGTGAGGAATGCACGGTCGATACACGTGCAGACAAAGCTCTCTTGGCTCTCCACGTGTCCCTTTCACGTCGTCGACATCCTGACGGCCTGTCGCTTTTGCCTTCTTCCAAGCGTTTCTGCAAAACGTTTTTCCATCTCTCCTTGAGTCCTTGCCTGACAAATCACCTCGCCTAGACTTGTTATGGTCGGACCACGGATCAGTGAACCCTACTACTGTTGCTCCTTTCCTTTTTTTTTTTTTTTTTTTTTTTTTTTTTT